TTAATATTTATTTTAGATTTCTAAATACATTTTTATTTTATTTAATTTTGTTTTATTTTAATAACAATTTTTAGTTTTTAAATAAATTTTTATTTATTTTATTATAACAATAATTTAAATTTTTTAAATAATTTATTATTTAATTTTGTTTTGTTTCATATTAATATTTTTCTTTTCTTTTAATAATTTTATACATATTTATTTTGTTTTATTCTAATATATAAATATATATATATATATATATATATATATATATATATATATATATATATATATATATATATATATATATATATATATATATATTGTTTTTTTTAGTTTTTATAAATTTAAATTTAATTTTCTCTTTATAATTTTCTTTTATAAAATTTTCTTTTATTTAGTTTTATTTCGCTTTTTTATTTTATTTAGTTTTGTTTTATGTAGTATTTTATTTTAATTTATGGTCACATGATCCTTCAGAAATACTTGTAATCATATGGTGTGTGTGTGTGTGTGTGTGCGTGTGCATGAGTGCATGTGTGTGTGCCTGCGTGTGTGTGTTAGTGATAAGCCGTGTCTGTCAGCATTTGTTGACACAGATGGGCTGTGTTTATTTATCTGAGAAGCCAATGACGACTGTGAATCAAGAAATAGAAACACTCCACAGACTTAGTTTGCTTTTCTCCCTGTCAAGTTCAAAGGGTTGTTTTGGAAGTTTTCTGTTGGTGAAATCAGTATTAATGTCAGTGTTTGTGTGCCTCTGCAGAAGGAGTGTGCGAACTTCATAAAGGTCCTGCAGCCATTTAATCAGACGCACCTGTATGCGTGCGGGACCGGAGCCTTCCATCCCGTCTGTGCACATGTGGAAGTGGGCAAACGCTCAGAGGTGAAAGCAGTTTTTCTGTCACATTATTAAATATGTAGAGGCTTTGGCCTAGTTGATACTATAAATGAATGTTACATTTTCTTCTCAATATATTTATCTCCTTTATACCAAGTAGTGCTGGAATCCTCTTTATTCATATTCTGCACTGGGAAAATTGATTTTAAATGTTTTTTTTAATTGCTTTAAGAATTAAAAAAAACAATTAAAGTATTACAGCATTTGTAATTTTCTAAAAGGTAATGTTTTAATATGCAAATGAGGCTATATTTTATTAAAATTGCACTTGTTTGCATACATTTCTTGAACATAATTACGAACATTGGATGAATTGTTTCAAACTTCTTGATTAATTTATTATTATTTTATTTATTATTATTATTATTATTATTATTATTATTATTATTACATTTTTAGTGTATTTATTTATTGTAAATAAAAGGTTTTGGTAATGCTTTATTATAATTTAAAATAGGTGAAGTTTTACAAAATTGTTTCGAGAGGAGCGTGTGATATAATTGATCATGGCAGGTCTCTCATCCATGTTCAGCTATAATCCAATCAGCTTGATCCAAGCCTATAATAAAATAGACTAATTTCACCCTACTGCCTCATTTTCCTTTTGGAAGAACCACCCCTTCCACCCCACCTCCTCCTTTTCCTTCTTTTACTAGGGGGAGCTCTCGAGACCTTCCTGATCTCTGACTCAGTTATATGCTTATTGACCAGGCGGGAGCCCTGGGCTCAATTATCTCCAAGCTCAGGGTTCTCCCCTGGGACAGTGTGTAAGTGTGAACTCTTGAAAGTGTTATTAACAAACCATTAACTAAGACTATTAATACAACTAAACTAAACTACTAATTTGGGTTTGATACTTTTTTCGTAAGTACTGAAAAACTATTTATATCTTAATAATAGACAGGTAAAAAGACCGTAGTTATTAGTGTGAATTGTGGCTTAAACTATTACCAAGTATTATTTAAGTATTACCAAACCTTTATATAATTTGCAAAATTATATATAAACATGGTTTTCTGTTATAAATACAACAACTTTAGAATATATATATCTTGGATGTTTTCTTACATTAGACTGAAGAAATAAGCATTTTATAAGCTTTAAATATGAATTCATAAGCTTTTATGAATTTAAATAATTGATCAGCATTGTAGGGCATTTTCAGGGATGATCTGAGATGATTCTGTGCTTGTTTCTGTGCAGGACAACACCTTTCGGCTTGGGTCGAGTTTTGAGAACGGCCGTGGAAAAAGCCCGTATGACCCCAAACTGCAGACGGCATCCATGCTGATCGGTAATTTAGCTAGTCAAATAAATTGCTCTTTCTCTTTTTAATGATTTATTTAATTTTAACATTTTAAATGTTATTTTATTATTTAGTTTTATTTCATTTATTTTATTTTTATTTATTTTTCATTTTTATATCATTTATTTTTTTATATTTTTTTACTTGATCCACATGAAACCGGTACCAATTGACATACTTTGCAAATCAAGAATTTTACATCCGTGAAAACATCTTTTTTTTGTGTTAGTCACGATCACCAGCGATCTAGTCCTTGCAGATCACTGAAAAACTACACTTTTGTCAATGAACTGAACTACAAATACTGTCATGCACCTCACACACACCAGTTCCTGATTTCACTGATTACTCACAGCTGGAAGCTCATAATTACCTGTTATGACTTTATATACATCTGACTCACACTTACACTTTGCTTAGTCTTTTGTAACAGTTCTGGTAACGGAGTTTAGGACTCAAATGCAGCGTCTTTATTTACAAGAATAATCAGTCAGGCAATGGTCAATCACAGGTACATACAAAGCAATCCAAAAGAGTAGTCGAGTCACAGGCGAAGAGACAGTTCCAGGCAGCTAACAGCAAAAATGAATAAACAAAGCGAGGTTCTCGAAACACAGCACAAAAAACAAGCAAGCAAGCAAGCAGGAAAACTATTTGTAATGCTACAGGTAAGCACTTAAACATGAGCTTTCAGCTGTGAGTAATCAGGGCAATCAGTAACTGGTGTGTGTTTGAGGTGCATGATAGTATTTGTAGTCGAGTTGATAGACAGAAGTCTGGTTCTCCAGTGATCTGCATGGATTAGATTGCTGGTGATCGTGATAATGTTCAACAGAAGGAATAAAAGGAGAACAGTTTTGAACAAATGGAAAGTGAGTAAAAGTATAGAGTAAAAACCAGCAACCAGTGACCCAATTTAAATCTAAAAAGAAAATGGAAATAGTAATCATAATAATTAACCTATTATAACTATAAAATGTTACATCCAACTCATCATCAGTATCAGTTGTGTTGTGTTTACCCAGCAGGTTTATTTGGCACTCTGATGAATGAATTCAACTATAGTTGGTTATATATAGTTAGTTAGAGAGAATGAAACAGAACTGTTTTTGTCTGTGTGTCTGTTTTTCTCTGGTTCATGTGTTCTGAATGGGAACTCGACACCCTTGATTAATGGTGTCTGATGGAGGATGACCAGCGCAGACTGTGCTCCACCTGCAGAGCGTTGTACTGTTAAATCTCTCAGCTCAGATTAAAGGTCACTCACGACCAAACTCGCTCACGCCGTCCCCGAGCGTGAAATTACCAGAGCCTGTTGACTGTCACACCTCTTTGAGTCCTCACATGAGCCGCTGGTAAAGGGGACATATCGTGAAAATCTGACTTTTTCCATGTTTAAGTGCTATAATTGGGTCTTCGATGGATCCACCAACCCACACAATGTGGAAAAAAGACAATCCTGTAACCTTATTTTAATAACCTTTTTTCTGGAAGCATGTGGAAAAATTACCCATTTAGATTTTGCTCCCCTTGTGATGTAGGAAGGGGATTTTATTATTATTATAAAGTAGTTTTCCCTTTTAATCTGCATGTTTTCATCTATAGTTCCACTGCAGTAGTACATCATTTCTTTTTTTACTATTTTTACAGTCTGTGTCAGAAAAAATAATAATAATACAAATGTTTTGTCCACCGTAGTGGACTTTGTGGTTGAATTTAAATATTTTTAGGAAATGTGCTGAAGAATGTTAACAAAGATTTCTATACTGTATTTGGGCAAAAAAGAAATCAAAAATCTAATTACTAAATATTTTCTGAATGTTTCCAAAATTCCTTTATGGATGTACAGTTGAAGTCAGAATTATTAGCCCCCCTGAATTATTAGACCGCTTGTTTATTTTTTCCCCAATTTCTTTTTAACGGAGAGAAGATTTTTTTTCAACACATTTCTAAACATAATAGTTTTAATAACTCATTTCTAATAACTGATGTATTTCATCTTTTCCATGATGACAGTAAATAATATTTTACTAGATATTTTTCAAGACACTTCTATACAGCTTAAAGTCACATTTAAAGGCTTAACTAGGTTAATTAGGTTAACTAGGTAGGTTAGTGTAATTAGGCAAGTTATTGTATAACAGTGGTTTGTTCTGTAGGTTATCAATAAAAAAAAAATTATCTTAAAGGGGCTAATAATTTTGTCCCTAAAATTATTTTAACAAATTAAAAACTGCTTTTATTCGAGCCGAAATAAAACAAATAAAACTCTCCAGAAAAAAAATATTATCAGACATACTGTGAAAATTTCCTTGCTCTGTTAAACATCATTTGGGAAATATTTTAAAAAAGAAGAAAAAATTTTGAAGGGGGCTAATAATTCTGACTTCAACTGTACTTGTTAATATGTTGTGTGGCTAAATTGAGCTAATGTTGTTCAGGTTTATCCTGAAAATCCTCACCATCAGCAAAATTCATAAAAACATTATGGATCGTATAGTCAAACTATTTATGTTTTCTGGAAAGATTATTTTACTAATAGCGTAAGGTTTATTTTTATGGTCAGATCATCAGAATAGAGCAGTAACATGCTACTAGATTATTTTAATAATTTTTACTACACAACAACTACATAAATGTCTCCACTAACTAAGGGCAACTTTGTGAGGAACTTTGAGTTGAAATAACACACATACAGTATTTTTGGGACACCAGCGATGTATTTTATGAAATCTGTGTCACTTTTACACAAGTTTATTCAACCAAGACACCATTTCCTTTTATTAACCTATGCTTTACTCATCCATGTTTAGCGCACAATTACCCTAGTGAACACGTGTTTTTGATCTTCAGATGGGGAACTGTATGCTGGGACATCAGCTGACTTCATGGGCCGGGACTTTGCCATTTTCCGAACTTTAGGAAAACACCATCCCATCAGGACGGAGCAGCACGACTCCAGATGGCTCAACGGTAAGACACATTTATATATATATGATTTAATTTCAAAAAGATATATACACACACAGTTGAAGTCAGAATTATTAGCCCCCCTTTGCATTTTTTTTTCTTTTTTAAATATTTTTCAAACATTATGTCTGATAATTTGTTTTTTGCTGGAGAAAGTCTTATTTGTTTTATTTTAGCTAGAATAAAAAAAAAATAATAATAATTTTTTAAACATCATTTTAAGGACAAAATTATTAGCCCTTTTAAGCGATTAATTTTTTAGATAGTCTGCAGAACAAACCACCATTATACTATAGCTTGCCTACTTACCCTAACCTGCCTAGTTAACCTAATTAAACTAGTTAAGCCTTTACATGTCACTTTAAGCTGTATTGAAGTGTCTTGAAAAATATCTAGTCAAATATTATTTACTGTCATCATGGCAAAGATAAAATAATTCAGTTATTAGAATTGAGTTATTAAAGCTACTATGTTTATAAATGTGTTGAAAAAATCTGTTCTCAGTTAAACAGAAATTGGGGATAAATAAACAGGGGGATAATAATTCAGGGGGGTTAATAATTCTGATTGCAACTGTATATATAATTTGATGACCGCATTTCTGTACTTTAAAAAAAAAAATATGGGAAAATTTATTCATTCATACATTTTGCTTCAGCTTAGTTCCTTATTTATCAGGGGTCGCCACAGAGGAATGAATCGGCATTGCAATATTTAATATAGAGTAAAAACAAAAGTGTGTAAACATAGTAAATCAAATAAAAACAGACATAGTTAAGTAAGATGAAGTATGATATTATAAAATACAATAAAAACATTAATAAATAATCATTTTAAGAGATCAGTGTAAATGATATTTGTGTCTTTATGCCTCTTAATTATGATTATGTGTCTCAAAATGTGTCTATTTATATCACAGTGTGATTTAAAGTGATGTGCCTTCTAACCATTTAATTTAATAATTGAATTACTGTTTTATATGTGAGAATCAGGTCCATAAAATAAATGAAACATGAAATTGCTACCAATGGAAAAAGACACAATATAAAATACAATTATTTCATTTCAAGCCAAAATGATGATAAACATATAGCTTATGGTTATATATCGATTATATTTCCTATATAAAAATGGTAAAGAACAAAGGATAGAGGAATGGGATTTTTAATCTCCGTTGAAGAAGCTATCAGATATCACCTTTGATTGTGTGTGTGTGTGTGTGTGTGTGTGTGTGTGTGTGTGTGTGTGTGTCTGTGTGTGATGGAATTCGGATTATATAAATAGTAAATTTCGTCATTTCCTCATACTTCTCTTTCTGTTAACTGAATTAGCCATTAAAAAAGAAAATAAAAGCCTCTGGCTCCAGTGAACATGTTTTGTGTCATACAAGCATGCATGTGTGTGGTAAAGAGACCATTGTGTGTATAGGTCATTGTGAGCTTGTGCTACAGTGATGGTGAGTTGTAAAGTATGTGTTTTCTTTCACCCCAAACATCTATAAAAAACAAGCTTAGATTTTTATGTGTTTTATTTCATTTGTTTTGTTGTGCGTCCAGATCCTAGATTTGTCAGCGTCCATCTCATCCCAGAGAGCGACAACTCTGAAGATGACAAGATTTATCTGTTCTTCCGCGAAAACGCCATTGATGGAGAGCAAATCAGCAAAGCCACACATGCCCGAATTGGACAGCTGTGTAAGGTACAGAGACTCGACAAACACGCATAACATCACTAGAGTTCCATCAACCTATTCTCAAGCACATTTTGGAATATCACATTAAAAAAATGCTTGGTGGAGGCAGTGGCGCCTGCAGCCATATGGCCGTACACACTGTGTGCACCTACCATGAGAGGGTGCAAATTATTGCTGCTTTTTTAATTAATTTATTTATTTACATAATTTAAATTGATTATATAGACAATGGGATTGAATAAAGTAATATTTAAATTCTTTTTCATATGTAAAGATATTTGCGTATTGCTCTACATCTTGTGTGTATTAAGCAGTGTGTAAGCGAGGCGCACAACTAATATGCTCTGCGCTGGACTTTAGACTGACTTTGTTCTGGTCTATTGAACAGACTAGTTTCTCAAAATAGCAACGCGCCAGCAATGCAACTCAACACGCCTCCCTTTTTTAGATCAGAACGCCTATGGGGGCACATATGAGCGCAAACGCATTTGCTATTTAAACAGCGTGGTGCAAAACGTTAAAACGACTCTTGCGCCGAGCTAAAACTAGCAAACAACAATTGCGTCACGCCTTGCGCCACATTGCGCCGGGTGTGTGATGGGGCCCAATGTCTGCTTAACTTTTTTTGCAAAACATTACACACAGGGATTTGTAAAACTCTACACACAGTTCGACACCTTAAAAACAGATAAGGATTGTGAGGTTACTTCCTTGTCATTACAAAGCCCCGGATTGCCAATGACCACGCTAATGAATAAATTGGATAAACACATCCACAAGGTGTGGAAGCACACATGTGCTAATTTGAAAACGCAGCACTCATGTGTGCTATAAAAGGCAGCAGGTGAGTACACCTGTATTCATCAAAAATAGAAGGAGCTAGAAGAAGAGTGAGAATGAGAGGGGGAGCTCAAAGAGGAGAAGAAGGATGTAGAGGAAGAGGCCTAGGTAAAGGAAGATGTAGGGAAGGATTTGAAGAGTTGATAGAACTTGAACAAAGAAGACGAGGACCAAATTTGACTCAAGAAATCTCTGCAACACTTATTGACCATGTTGTCAACCATGGACGGACACTGCAATCCTGCAATCACTGCAAGAATTCAACCAAATCTCAGCAGAAATACTGAATTTCTTGAGTTGAAATAAATTCTTGAAATATTGAGTCTGCAGCATCAGTGTTGTGCAGTGCTTGATAAGTTTATAGTAGGCCTATTTGTATATATTCTCCCTATATCTCAAAGTAATCATGAAGAATGTTGTTGGTTTTGTTTTGTCATTGATATGATCCCTTACACAACAATGTCTGCCCAAAAATCTAGCACATGTTATTTCCTAAAATTAGTTTTTTTTTTACAAATGTGTTTTTTATTTATCACAGCAGTGTGAAACTGTCTGCAATAGTGTCTAATCATTGAGGACTGTGTTGGTTAAATGAAAACTACTAGCATTTTCACAAATATGTCTATAAGTTTGTATGTTTTGTAAACAATCTAGGAATTCTGCAATTTGAGTGTGGTCTTTAAATAATTGTGATTACATTTTGAAAAAAAGAGCCAGGTTTTCAAAAATGTGTGTAAACAACTGAAAAAAAAACTGTAACGTCTTCTCGGACATCATCATCAATATATTTTTTATATATAGTGTTGCTAAATACTGTATAAACAATAATATATACTATTTCACAAATATGGCAAATGAGATGGGCAAATAGGGATCATTGTTTCATCCGATTTTAATACAATTAAGACAATACTCTGATTAAAAGTCTGTTAAATTGCATGTTAACAGCAATTTTTGATTAATTCAATCCAATTAAGGTCATAATCGAATTAAACATAAATTGAATTAAATGTGGAGAAATACACAAGACATGTGGAGTAATTCAATTTTAGTGGCATTACTGAAGTGCAGTACAGACATGTAAACACCGTTATCAAACTATTATCAATGTGTAGCGTTTTGCGACAGGATAGTCTAAACACACACGGCTGTTTGACACTATTATCTGTACCTACTGAGTCAGTAAAGGACCACAGAGACCTGCATCAAGAAATGCGGAGGTTTTTTTTTTCCCATATAGCATGCTCCAGAGGAAACGTGTATTATATGCTGTAACATGTGAAACGAGATCCTGAAAGGAGCATTAAAAAAGCAACTCATGTAAACACCTTAATCATATTATTGTCTTATTCAGATTAAGGCAAATAATTTGATTACTGATGTCCATGTAAACGTAGTCAGTGTTTACATAGTAGACATTTAATCAGAGTATTGTCTTAATTGTATTTAAATTGGAGTATTGGTCTTTGTGTAAACTTACTCATTGGCTTATTTAGATAATTGTAAATAATTAGATTACTGTCGTCCATGTAAACAAAGTCACATAGTCAACTTAAGAGATGCCTAAAATGTCACAGAAGCCATCAGCCGAGAGAACAAAGACTCCTCTGTGGAGAAAATGTGAGACTCTGGCAGACTCTTTGGCTCAGCTCAAGTGCTAGTCTACAGCTAGAAAGGTGTTCTCAATTACAGAGCGCTCGGTATTCCGGTATGACTGGAATCCTCCCTGCACCGGCGCAGACAATTGTCTCATTATGCAGAGTGTGCGTTTCGTTTATGCAATACATTTTTCCAGCCCTGCTAATTAGAGCTGATCAATCCACAGCAAAAGTGGGACTGTTTATATTGCTCATGCGTTTCCATGCCAGGTTTTGGTGTAAAGCTAGATTGCAGACAGGTGTGTATACACACGCCTATCTAAACCGATCAGTTATCAGTACTAATTGTCTGTTAATAAAGGCTGTATGTAATGATATAGAACTTTAACATAGGAAAGCTGCGGTCACACTAGAGTTTTAGTTTGCGAAATTCTGTAGCATGGCGCTGTGAAAAGGGGCGGAATTAAACAAGATGATTAGACATTTAGAAAAAGCGAGCGATTGGTCCTTTCTGTCCAGACAGGTCATTCATTCATTCATTTTGTTGTCGGCTTAGTCCCTTTATTAATCTGGGGTCGCCACAGCGGAATGAACCGCCAACTTATCCAGCAAGTTTTTACACAGCAGATGCCCTTCCAGCCGCAACCCATCTCTGGGAAACATCCACACATACACACACACACTCATACACTACGGACAATTTAGCCTACCTAATTCACCTGCACCGCATGTCTTTGGACTATGGGGGAAACCGGAGTACCCATGAGGAAACCCACGCGAATGCAGGGAGAACATGCAAACTCCACACAGACCCAGCTACCTTCTTGCTGTGAGGCTACCCACGTGCTACCCACTGTGCCACTGCGTCGCCCCCCAGAGAGGTCATGTTTCGATTTTTTGATTGGTCTCATACAGTCAAGTGATGCAACTTTGCAGGTCAGAATTCACCAAGCTTGAACTTTGCAACACAACAAACTGCGAAACTGCGCATAAGATTGCATTGAAGTCTATAGGGAGAAAAGTGCAGTGTGACCACAGCTTGAATCTGTTTGTGATTTGTGAAATCAACTTTTCCTTGATCTTTTGTTATGTATGAGGTCTATTAAAACAAGTTTTACAATGCAAAACGTCCCTGTTAGTCCAAAAACAGCTTTTATTACAACCAGGCTGCCAAAAATGAGTCGTTTTGTTCTTGCTCCTCTTCATTATGCATTGTTATGCACAAGGCTGTCTGGCTGTTTATTTTCAACTATGTAAACGCCTCAGCAGATTGATGTAATGACATTGTTTATGATTATTAGCAGATAAAATGTTGCAAACAAGTTTGCAAACTGTCTTAAAAGACTGGTCGAAAGATGTGAAAATCTTATAATAAAGATTATGAGTCTTTAGAAGTTTAAACTGTCTAAAACAGTATATGATGTTATGTAGTGTTAATGATTTTCTTTCAGACACATCAACTTATTTGAAGTAAATGTGAAGTAAACACTACATAACAGAAACAAAAGTAAATCATTTCTGGTTTGTATTTGACAGAATGATTTTGGAGGCCACAGGAGTTTGGTGAACAAATGGACCACCTTTCTGAAGGCCCGTTTAGTCTGCTCAGTTCCTGGCCTCAACGGCATCGATACACACTTTGATGAACTGCGTAAGTATGAAAAACAATGTTTTACTTGTTTAACATGTTTGGTTGACAACTTACAGCACCTCACTCTGATCATTTCCAGAGGACGTGTTTCTCATGAGCTCTAAGGATCCTAAAAACCCCATTATCTATGCTGTATTTACAACATCCAGGTAATAAAACATCCAATTTACACCACAGTATACTGTTATATAACTGCATATTCTGTTATCTTCTATTCAGAGCATGATAATTGTGTTTTAGGTCCCTAAAGATGAACCTGTGAAGCAGTTGGTAATTGTTGTTTCTCTGTTTGCAGTAATATTTTTAAGGGTTCTGCGGTCTGCATGTACAGTATGGCAGATATCAGGAGAGTGTTTTTGGGCCCATATGCCCACCGTGATGGACCCAATTACCAATGGGTACCATTTCTGAGTCGAGTACCATATCCAAGACCTGGCACGGTAAGATGGCCATTCAGAGCTAATGTACATCATACCTTTTTTATGGCTCAAATCAAAGTGAAAGGTCTGCTTGTATCCTAACATGTTCTCCCGAATCTGAACAGTGTCCCAGCAAAACATTTGATGGTTTTGAATCAACAAAGGACTTTCCTGATGATGTCATCACGTTTGCCAGAAGCCATCCAGCCATGTACAACCCAGTGTTTCCTATCAACAACCGTCCAATCATAATCAAAACTGATGTGGATTACCAGTTCACTCAGATAGTAGTGGACAGGGTTGAAGCAGAGGATGGCCAGTATGATGTCATGTTTATCGGCACCGGTGAGTTGAATAATGTTTTTTGGTGACGCTGTGCTTTAAATAGTTTATTTTGGTGGTCCCCTTTAGATGTTCTGTTGATTATAATTAGGCCCACACAGTTTTCTGCAGATTTCTTTAGTCTATCTTTGTGTTAATTTATTTAAGAAAGTAAATATATGCAGTTGAAGTCAGAATTATCAGCTCACCTGAATGAATAGCCCCCTGATTATTTTTTCCCTGGTTTATTTTTAACGGGGAGAAGATATTTTCAACACATTTCTAAACATAATAGTTTTAATAATGATTCATATGAACTGATTTATTTTATCTTTGCCATAATGACAGTAAATAATATTTTACTAGATATTTTTCAAGACACTTCTAAACAGCTTAAAGTATCATTTAAAGGCTTAACTAGGTTAATTAGGTTAGCTTGGCAGGTTAGGGTAATTAGGCAAGTTATTGTATAACGATGGTTTGTTCTGTAGACTACTGAAAAAAAATTGCTCAAAGGGGCTAATAATTTTGTCTTTAAAATGTTTTTTTTTTATTTAAATAATACCTGCTTTTATTCTAGCTAAAATAAAACAAATAAGACTTTCTCCAGAAGAAAAAATATTATCAGACATGCTGTGAAAATTTCCTTACTACTGAAAATTTCCAACTACTAATATTAGGCACCTTTTACACCACTTTATTTGTTTAAAAATACATTAAAAAAACAAAGCATTTTGAAAATGCTAAATACCCCATTTTGTTTGTAAATGCTAGTGTACTGTTTCAATATCGATGAACCAAAACACACACTTTTGAAAACAGAGGCATGGCTATCCACAATCACTCTCTGACTGGTCTTCTGTAATATTGGTTCATCAAGCCTCTCACTAACTATTAAACAAGAAAACAAGTACGGATGCCATCAAGATGTAAATTAAAAGGCAGTAATAATGCCAGTATAGACGAGGAGTGTTTTCATTCGAAAAGGTCATTTTAATGTTAAAAATATTGGTGTAAACACAGACTTAATCAGATTGTATTTTGCTTACAGGGATTTCTGATGGTCCATCAGTAGACAACCTCTTGACTTTAACAATAATTGACTAGAGCAAAAAGCTACTGGGAAATTCACTTTTTACTTTTTTACAAAACATCCACTAATACTCTATTGAACGTTAAATAATTTGCTGTACTTAGAAATAACCAAATATCTGAAAGGAACCATCAAACTAAAGTGATTTGTTTTTATTTTTATAATACACTTTATGTAAAATACAAGTTGTTATTTTTCTACCATAGACATGGGCACAGTCCTTAAGGTGGTTTCCATCCCAAGAGGAACATGGCATGACCTTGAGGAAGTCCTGTTGGAGGAGATGACTGTGTTCAGAGTGAGTTAATAGAGTTTATATGTGCAGAGTTTTTTCTCCTTTAGAAAACCATATACTGCACATTCTACCCTATAGCATGTTCAAAATGATTTATTATGTTCCCCTTTTTTATACTGACAATTTCTTGTGATACTTTAAGGATAAAAATATTTTCTCCTTTTGACTGACAAATTTTTTATAATATTCATGATGTCAATTAAACATCATTAAAACACTCTTTTTTAACAGGAACCAACTGCTATCACTGCCATGGAGCTTTCAACAAAACAGGTTAGCATTTTTAGAGCTTGAAACAACTGATCTCTTAATTCAGTGAAGGTAGTAAAACCAACTTTTCATAAGTGGCAGCATTAAACATGATTTGATTTGGCAAGTCTTAGGAGCATAATTGGTATTATACAGTAGGTGAGGAGCAGGGGAGCAGGGCAAAATAGACAATGTTTTAAAGAAAACAAAGATTCTCATTCACTGATAACTGTGTACAAGTGTAGATAAACAGATTAGATAGATAGATAGATAGATAGATAGATAGATAGATAGATAGATAGATAGATAGATAGATAGATAGATAGATAGATAGATAGATAGATAGATAGATAGATAGATAGATAGATAGATAGATAGATAGATAGATAGATAGATAGATAGATAGATAGATAGATAGATAGATAGATAGATAGATAGATAGATAGATAGATAGATAGATAGATAGATAGATAGATAGATAGATAGATAGATAGATAGATAGATAGATAGATAGATAGATAGCTTGAAAAATATTCATGTAGCTCAGCATTTTGTTGACACAGGTGTTATACCGTACACCAGCTAGATTTATCATGTAGCAAAAACTTAACACAGCTCTCAGACTAGGTTACACACACACAAATACACACACATATGCTTAGTTGGCCTCAGTCTACATTACGCAGAGCAGGAGCTGCTGTCACAGTCAGTCACACAACGCGACAACACGAGGTTTTGCCATTAGAGGCCACACACACACACACACACTCACAGCAGCTGCTTTTACATTAAGGAGTGCAGTGTGAGCTCCCCTTTAGGCGGTGTGAATAATCAAGCAGACACTGAGAGCTTATCTAAAGGCATATATAATTAAACAGCTGGGTATGAAACGGTGAAAACTTCCCTTATCCTCAGTCAAGCAGTCATTAACTCTGTCACATCACAACAAAAAACTTTGTGGTTCCTGTTTCAGGGAAGTCACAGTGTCTTGGCTTTGTCTTTACAGCAACAACTCTATCTTGGATCTGCCATCGGGGTTTCTCAGATGCCACTTCATCGATGTGACGTCTATGGGAAGGCCTGCGCTGAATGCTGTCTGGCACGTGACCCTTACTGCGCATGGGATGGCTCTCAGTGTTCCCGATACTTTCCAACAGCTAAGAGGTACAATGAGGATACACAGAAACACTCCACAGTTGATCTGAGATGAAGATGACAGATGACATTTTTTCCACAGTGGGCTCTTGAGTTCGTCTTAGGTTTTTTTTTAATACATGCCTATTATAATTCAATGTGTGTGTTTTCTGTATGTGTGTGTGATAACATTTAATTCAAACAAACTTTTAGTAATGACATTGCTATTTAAGGCTCAAAACCAAAACACTATGATATTAATAGAATATCTGTTTTTTTATTTATTATTAATTATTAATACTATTTTACTATTATATTTAACACTAATATTCATTTAATATAAATACTAATGTTGTATGTATATATATATATATATATATATATATATATATATATATATATATATATATATATATATATATATATATGGTGTGTGTGTGTGTGTGTATATATGTATATGTGTGTGTGTGTGTCTATATATATGTGTCTGATAATATTTTTTCTTCTGGAGAAAGTCTTATTTGTTTATATATATATATATATATATATATATATATATATATATATATATATATATATATATATATATATATATATATATATATATTCAGGCCACTTTATTAGGTGCACTTTACCATTACTGTGTTGGATCCCCTTTTGGCTTCCAAACTACCTTAATTCTTCATAGCATAAATTCAGCAAGGTACTGGAAATATTCTTTAGAGATTGACATGATAGCATCACGTAGTTGCTGCAGATTTGTTGGCTGCACATCCATAAAGCGAATATCCCAGTTCACCACACCCCAAAGCTGCTCTATTGGATTGAGATCTGACGACTGTGGAGGCCATTTGAGAACAGTGAACTCATTGTCATGTTCAAGAAACCAGTCTGAAATGATTCACGCTACATGACATGGTGTGTTATCCTGCTGAAAGTAGCCATCAGAAGATGGGTATACTGTGGTCATAAAGGGATGGACATGGTCAGCAACAATATTCGGATAAGCTGTGGCATTAAAATGATGCTCAATTAGTACTAATGGGTCCAAAGTGTGCCAAGAAAATAACCCCCACACTATTACACCACCACCAGCCTGAACAAAGCAGAATGGATTCATGCTTTCATGTTGTTGAAGCCAATTTCTGATCCTACCATCTATATGTTGCAGCAGAAGTCAAGACTTGTCAGACCAGGCAACATTTTTCCAATCTTCTATTGTCAAATTTCATATAGGCCTGTGCAAATTGTAGCCTCAGTTTCCTGATCTTAGCTGACAGGAGTGGCCCCTGGTTTGGTCTTCTGCTGCTGTAGCCCATCCGACTCAAGGTTCAACGTGTTATATGTTCAGAGATGCTCTTCTGCATACCTCGGTTGTAACGAGCATGGTTATTTGAGTAACTGTTGCCTTTCTTACAGCTCGAACCAGTCTGGCCATTCTCCTCTGACTGGCATTAACAAAGCATTTGTGCCCACAGAACTGCCGCTCACTGGATATTTTCTCTTTTTCAGACCATTCTCTGTAAAACCTACAGATGGTCGTGCGTGAAAATCCCAGTAGATCAGCAGTTTCTGAAATATTCAGACCAGTCCGTCTGGCACCAACAACCATGCCATGTTTAAAGTCTCTTAAATCACCTTTCCTCCCCATTCTGATGCTCAGTTTGAACTGCAGCAGATCGTCTTGACCATGTCTACATGCCTAAATGCATTGAGTTGCTGCCATGTGATTGGCTGATTAGAAATTTGCGTTAAGGAGCAGTTGGTGTACCTAATAAAGTGACCGGTTAGTGTTGTTTGCCAAGCCATACTTTTTTCACTTTTCAAATTAATATTTTAGTTTTTAGTTTTCTTGAAATAAAAAAGTTACTAGTTATCAACTATTATCTTTATCAAATTTGAGTTTCAGGTAACCTAAGCCTGAACATTATGAGTTTTGAAAGCACTTTTCAGTTCTTGACCTTATTATTTCCAGTTAACCACAGCCTGAACATTAGAAGTTTTGCAAGCACTTTTCACAATATATCATATCGCATTTTAAGTTCTTGACCTTAATATTTGAGGAGTCAAATCCTTGAACTCTGTCCATTGAGGCACTCAGAAACACCTCAATGGTTTTCAGCAAATTTAAATTCATATCCTCTGTGCCATCTAAAGCAAACATACCCTACTTTATTCTTCATCTTCAGTTTCCAAAACCAAGATCAGGACAGGTCTCACAGTTACAGCCCATGCCATGTTCCAGTAGCAGATAATATTTGTGGACGGGCTTCTTCTCAGAAAGGCTCTTTGTATGCTACTGGTGTTGAAAAGGCCTCACATATTGCCAACATTACCAGACTGCCTCAAATGAACATTCAGGACAAGACGTCTCGAGATACGTCTTTTCATAAAGTTAAACAGCCCAGAGCTAAAACAGGTTTCATTTCAGACACACTTGCACTCATGTGGCGCAGAAATTGGTTTACTTCATGCAGCACGGTGAGAGGTTTTCTGCAAGACAGATGTGTGTGGGTGTCAATACGCGAGTTTCTCTCCTCTCTAATGTTCTGTGTTTGTTGTCCACTTGCAGGAGAACGAGGCGTCAGGATATTAGGAATGGAGACCCACTGACTCAGTGTTCGGATCTACAACACCACGGTAATACCAGCAGTGCTATTTGTTCATTTTTTAATCATATTTATGTGGTGTGTGTGTGTGTGTGTGTGTGTGTGTGTGTACAGATGTATGTGGTTTACAGGGAAACAAAGTTGTATATTAACATGGGCATGACTTAAATGTACTCTGTTAGGGTTTACAGGGTCACACCTCATGTCCCTGTAATTCAAAATGCTTAAAAATACTTATCGAGGTCTTTTGAAATTCAAATTTTGCTGCAGGTTTCCTGTGGGGGAGTTGGAGTTGAGCAATGTACACAAATTACTCACAGATCACTCCAAAAAATTATAATATAAATAGAGAAATAATAATTACTTAATAGAATGCCACTTTAAAGGCAGTCAGTCATCGTCCCAATAATCACTCTCAGAAGTGTTGATGCTAGAAACGTTCTGCGGCTTTGAGGGGAATCAAAGTAGTATTCAGACCCCTTTTGTGACACACGAAGTCTGGCAGGATAAAACATTACAAAATGAACATTGTGCTTGTACAGCAGACCCTTCATGTTGTTAAATGAGACTCTTCTTTTGGCCACCGAGGAGCAGAAATCCTCATAGAATTTGACTCTCTGCCCCTTGTATAAGATTTCTTTCATGGCTTTTTCTAAGCACAGCATCTTTCTCAATAAAACAATGAAAACACATTATAATCGGACAGGGATTTTGACCCTGGCAAGGTTTAGGTCAATTACTGTGATGAGCCCTGTCAATCTCCGGTGGGGCAGAAATGACATCCCGAAGGACACACACAAAAAAGTCAGTCATGAACCGCCTAATGTCCTTTCCCTCAACATCCTCCGGGAGGACAAAAACGTGAATATTTTGGTGCTTCGACTGTGAAACAAGATCCTCCACATTCTCTTTTAAACGACATTGTCCTCAGCTACCGACCTCAACTGAATATTCAAGGCCCTTTTTTTCAATATGGGTCATCCTGTCACTGTGATCGGTGACGCTGGTCTCCATGACAGTGATAGTGGATGCTTGTGCCGCCAACGAGGACCTAATAGAGGCAATCCATGAACTGAGAGACTCCAAAGATTAATTCAACAGTACAGTAAGTTCGCCAGTAATGTTCTTTTCTCAATTTATATAACTCGCCGACGAGTTTGGCAGCCGTTAGCGGGGATGTTTCATACACCATGTTGCCGTTTTCAGGGCCAAGATGGCAAACTTAGGGCTGAGAGTTATGTTTAACACCGGCATGGATTCCTTTGCTCATTGGAGCAAGATGATTGAATTTAAGTGAACTGTTGAAGAGAAAATAATTGCAAAAAATGTGATATATTTGTAAAGTAGTGAAAATTGCTTTAAAACGCTGACACCACATGTCTCTCCACTACATGACGAAACCGGAAGTCCTTGGAGTAGGGCAATGTAATAGCAATTTTTCCAGGGAATGTCCCTGTAAACATGTATAAAATTGTGTGTTTGTATAAAATGCCATTTTTGCTAACATTTTAAACATATCTTGCGTATATGACATGTATTTTATAATGTGTAAAATCCAAACATGAACTTGTATGTCATATATGTCATTTATATTGCCATATATCAGATCTCTATATAAAATAAAGTGAAATAAGTATTTTCAAGTACCATACTCAAAATTGGTCCTCTGCTTTTGACCCATGCAAGTGCACACACACAAGTGAGATGTGTTTTATAAATGAGTTACTTTTTTAAGGGATGTGAACGTATGTGTGACTTTATATTTGCAATTTAAAATAAAATAAGATTAACATAGGCCCAAGGTTGTAATATATTACTTTTTTAAAGTAACTTTAAACAACTCTGATTGAAGGAAGAGCCTCAACAAGTGTTCACAAGAGTCACATTTAAACACATGTTAATACCAGGTGGAAACAGAGCCTAACAAGTTCTAACCTAGCATTAAAAAAAAAAGCGAAGAGAATCTGTTGCTCTAGAACCAACAACAATGTTGAACTTGTAAACTTTATTATTTAACTTTATGGAAAGCATGATTACATGCTCAAAAGAAGGCAATCAGTGCGTCATGCTTCCTTCTTTGTAAAATATAATACAGGATGTGCCTGGAAACTATGTTTAAAGGCAAGGATGAAAGTTCTTTATACATGCCACACATGCCAGATTAAAGTTTAATTAAAGCTTCTGTAATGAAACGCGCTTAAAAAGGTCATTTTGCTACGTTAATGACACATGTTTAACTGCTGAGGAACTGTTCCACAGCTGTTTGCAGGAATACAAGCTCCAGAACATGCACTTAAACATGTCCACATAGATGTACATTTAACTTTCAAAACTGCTGGGTTTTGGCCTTTTAAGAAACCGCAAGGCTGTGTCGAAGGACTTACAGCATCCTTAGCTGCAAAATGCTGCTCTTTGAGCATGACCGTTAAAAAAATAAAAATAAAAAAATCACAAAGTCACTCCAGCAGGTGTTATTCTCTATATTAGTGAGCACCATTATCATTAGGCAAAGAAAATTAATCTTTGTGACCATGAAAGATAATAATATATAATACTAATCTAAAAATATAATATAATATAATATAATATAATATAATATAATATAATATAATATAATATAATATAATATAATATAATATAATTATTGGATATAGTCTTCACAGCTCTTCAATCTAATCAACTCCAATATGATTTTTTTTAAAGATAAAATCCACCAAATTGTATTGTAATATAATAATGTTTTCTGTTAAGAAATTAAAAATCAGTTTAGTTATTCTTAAATACATTTTTTTAACACCATAAATGTGAACATTAAACCACAAAACCAGTCTTAAAGGTAAATGTAACTAATAATACATTGTATGAGTCCAAAATTGTCATTTATGCCAAATATCTTTACAAAATTAAGTAAAGATTGTGTTCAATGAAGACATTTTGTAAATTCCCTACCAGAAGTATATACTTACATTGTTTATAATTAGAAATATGCATTACTAGGAACTTAAAATGTGATTGTCTTGATATTTAAACTTTTTATTGGGCTATAATAACAAATCCAATTTTTTCAGAAAAACTTCCCTTATGAATGGTTTTGTGGTGCAGTGTTACAAATGTGATAAGTTGCTTATGATTAATGCATCCTTTCTGAATAAACATCTTTTTTGTTCACACTTTACAATAAGTTTCCATAAGTTAAAGTTAGTTTATGTATTCAGACTTGTATAAACTAAGAATAAACAATACTTAATGCATAATTTATTAATCGGTGTTAATGTTCATTTCAACATTCACAAATGCAATATTTATATTCAGAGTTGGCACACTGATTTGTTGTTAATGCACTATGATTAGTTAATGCTTGGACCACTTTTTTCGACAACTTTTAAAAATGATGAACAAAGACTGTAATAAATGTATTATTCATTGTCGTTGATTAATATAAGTAACTATATAAACTATTATTAAATAATGGAAGCTCATTGTAAAAATAAGACACATCTGACCCAGATCTTTTGAACGGTTTAGTGTACATTTTGAGGTCACCAGGATCACGTTCAAGACCACACACTGATTTCCTGAGTTCTGGTCAAACACACCTCATTATAGTGGCACTGCTGAACCACAGACGTTTCATAGTTCAGACTTAAAAGGAACAGCAGAAGAAAATGAAAGACAGTGAAATAGACGTCATTTAACACAACCAGTGATCTCTCTCTCTCTCTCTCTCTTGGCCTTGGATCCCAGTAGACACACTGCGAGACACACAGCTGAGATGTAGACCTGCTGGGTGTGACTCTGTGGTGTGATTGCAGCATATGGTCTGAACTGTCAGTTTGTGTTCTCGCCGCTCATGTCCCGAATCAAGATTTCTCACTTTTTTTGTCTCTTTCTCTGTCTGAGCAGATGAGGCAGATGGCGAGACGGGCTTGCTGGATAAGACTGTGTATGGAGTTGAAAACAGCAGCTCTTTTCTAGAGTGCAGTCCTAAATCTCAGCGTGCCCTCATTTACTGGCAGTTTCAGAGACACGGGGAGGACCACAAACTGGAGGTTTGATCTTATGTATAAACAGTGAAATGTTTCATTCATTCATTTCCTTTCATCTTAACTGCCCACTATTCCAGCATATGTTTTACACAGCGGATACCCTTCCAGCTACAACCCAGTACTGGGAAACAGCAGAACTCGTACACTACAGCCAATTTAGTTCATCCAATTCACCTATAGCGCATGTCTTTGGACTGTTGGGGAAACCGCAGCACCTGGAGGAAGCTCACACGAACACAGGGAGAACATGCAAACTCCAAATAGAAATGCCAACTGGCCCAGCCAGGACTCAAACCAGAGACCTTCTTGCTGTGAGGCAACAGTGCTAACCATTGAGCCACCGTGCTGCCCAGTTTCATTCAAAAATAAGCCTTTTAATTGGTCTTTGTTTAGTTTGGCCATATTTTACTTATGCTTAACTAATGCTTGACTAGGTTAATTAGGTTACTAATTAAATCTGACTTTCGAATAAGATGTTAAACTGAGGTCCCAACTCTCTGTGGTCATTAAAAATCCCAGGATGTCCTTCGAAAAATAGTAGGGGTTTAACCCCGATATTCTGGCCAAATTTGCTCACTGACCTCAGTCCATCATGGCCTCCTAACCATCCCTATATCATAATTAGCTTCATCACTCTGTCTCACCAATCAGCTGTTGTGTGGTGTGCAGTGTGGTGCAATGTGACTGCCGTCACGTCATCCAGGTGGATGCTGCACACGGGTGGTGGATGAGGAGATCCCCCCCATTGTGTAAAGCAGTGGTTCTCAAACTTTGGTACGTGTACCACTAGTGGTACGCAGGCGTCCTTCTAGTGGTACGCGGAGGAATGAAATATGTCATGTACATGCTACATATATTTAAAATTTATCAAAAAATATGCATATAATATGCTATTTATGAATATAGCCTATATTTCTGAGGTAATCTGCTACGTTGTTTTAACTGTGCAGAGTTGTAGCTGCTTTACTGGGCCTACTACGCTACTGTATTTCAATACTGCTTATTTTTGGTGGTACTTGGAGAGACCATTTTTTTCTGAAAAGTTTGAGAACCACTGGTGTAAAGCGATTTGAGTGTCCAGAAATGTGCTAAATGTAAGGCATTATCATCATTATTATTATTGTTATTATTATTATTATTACAAAGTAAGTTATTGTATTTCTATAGCCATTCTGGGGGCTAATAATATTGACCTTAAAAATATACTCACTGGCCACTTTATTAGGTACACCTGTCCAACTGCTCGTTAATGCAAATTTCTAATCAGCCAATCACATGGCAGCAACTTAATGTATTTAGGCATGTAGACATGGTCAAGACGATCTGCTGCAGTTCAAACCGAGCATCAGAATGGGGAAGAATTCTTTTATTTGATTTAAGTGACTTTGAACTTGGCATGGGTGTTGGTGCCAGATGGGCTGGTCAGAGTATGAAAAAGTTAAATATCCAGTGAGCAAAAAATCTGTGGGCACAAATGCCTTGTTTATGCCAAAGGTCAGAGGAGAATGGCCAGACTGTTTCGAGGCGATAGAAAGACTCAAATAACCACTCGTTACAACCGAGATATGCAGAAGAGCATCTCTGAACACACAACATGTCCAACCTTGAGATGGATGGGCTACAGCAGCAGAAGACCACACTGGGTGTCAGCTAAGGACAGGAAACCAAGGCTGCAATTTGTATAGGCTCATCAAAGTTGAACAATAGAATATTAGAAAATGTTGATGATCGGTCTCGATTTCTGCTGCAACCTTCTGATGGTAGGGTCAGAATTTGGTGTCAACAACATGAAAACATGGATCCATCATGCCTTGTATCAACGATTCAGGCTGGTGGTGGTTTAAAAGTGTGGGGAATTTTTTTTTGCCACACTTTGAACCCATTAGTGCCAACTGAGCATTGTGTCAATGCCACAGCCTACCTGTGAATTGATGTTTACCATGTCCACCCCTTTATGATCACAGTGCGCCAATTTCTGATGGCTACTTCCAGCAGGATGAACATAAAAAAATGAGTGCACTGTACTCAAATGGCCTCCACAGTCACCAGAGCTCAATCCAATAGCACCTTTGGAATGTGATGGAACGGGCGATTTGCATCATGGATTTGCAGCTGCCAAATCTGCAGCAACTGCATGATGCTATCATGTCAATATGGACCAAAATCTCTGAGGAGTATTTCCAGTACCTTGTTGAATCTATACCACCAAGGATTAAGGCAGTTCTGAAGGCAAAAGGGGGTCTGTACCTAATAAAGTGGGTGGGAAGTGTATAAATAGTATATTAGATATGACAAAAATAAGCAGGTGTATTATTGTTGTATTGATGTTGTTATGACAGACATGATGTCTTAAATGTTAGTTGTTTAGATCAGTGTCTAGTATGGATCATCAAGCTCTTGTTTATAATTATTTGACTACAAACATTTATCTAATCATACATTTGGGTTAATAGGGTCAACTGCAGCCAAAATACCTGAACAGCTGTTGTCCATAGTATGCTTACAGTGTTGTGTGTCTGTGTTTTGTTTTAGATAAAGTCAGACGAGCGAGTGTTGGGCACAGAACAGGGTCTTCTGATCCGAAGCCTCCATCAGAAGGACTCAGGTGTGTATTACTGCCATGCCGTCGAGCACGGCTTCATCCAGACCCTCCTCCGTCTCACGCTCAACGTCATTCCTGCCGAACACCTGGATGATCTGCTTCACCGAGACCCACCAGACACCAACGATCCCGCCAACGGCAAGATGTGGTACCGCGACTTTCTGTCCCTCATCAATCCGCCGAGCCCCAACAGCGTCGATCAGCTCTGCGAACAGGTGTGGAAGAGAGAACGCAAACAACGCAGACAGAAAGCCAATCTACTGCACGCCAGCCAATCACACACCAGCCAGATCCTCCACTCCAGCCAATCACACGCCAAGTGGAAGCTGCTACAGGAAAACAAGAAAGGGCGCAATCGCAGGACCCACGAGATGCAGCGGGCGCCGAGAAGTGTGTGACATGGACACCAAATATATCTATATAAATAAAAAACTTCTGCTGTTCTACAGACATACCGCTGCAGACAGGAAATGGGGAATTTCACTTCCTGTCATGTATGTGTGCAAGAGAGATGAAACTTCATTCACACTATGTATCGAGACTCAAACGGTTTTGAGAGGACGCGAGGATGCCTGTAAATATGACATGAATACAAAACCATACTGTGAAACAGGTTTCAGTCCGTATTAAAACCTGTTTCGTTTATGAGGGAAAAACATGGATGCTGAAAACCACTGTTTAACCTCTGTTTAGCTGAAGCACAACCCCAGTGCATTCTGGATTATGATCTTGTCTGTAATATTATGTGTATAGAGTGTTTTACCTTAGTTAAACTGGATAGGTCACCCGAAAATGAACATTTACTCACCGCTGAATCATACTTATGTGATTCGAAACATTTATGAGAAGGAAAGAAGATATTTTGAAGAGAAATTGATAACCATTAGCCCCTTTTACACAGTGATATCGGTAAATATCTGGAAAGTTTATTAGTAAATTTAAAAAGCACTGTTCACACAGGCAAGGACATTACAATTTTTTTTTTCTAGAAAGGACCTTTCACAGATCCATTCCAAAATCGCTGTAAATCATTAAGTGTAGTTTATTTATAAACTAATTTCGAGAGGATCTCATGCTTATTACTGCTTGCAGCCAGTCACGCATTATTCAGTGTGTGATTCACCAATCAGATGATTCCTTAGCCACTATAAACACCCTAAGTTCCATATAACAGTCATCTTCGTTTTGAAGAATACCGCCTTCCACCCCTAATTCTCCTTCTTTCCTAGAAGGGTGGCACGGTGACCTAGTGGTTAGCACTGTTGCCTTTTTGCCATTTACACATTCTCCCCATGCTCACCTGGGTTCCCCTGGGTTCTTCCCACCTTCCAAAAACATGCAACTTAAGTTAATTGACTAATCCAAATCGGCACCATAGACATGCTCCTAGTAAGTAGTTATAAGAGCAATCACTATCTGTTCATTAGCTACTACAGCAGGGGAGTTCTCGAGATCTACCCGAGCTCAAACTCCCCTCTCGCCTTGCAAATGGGAGGGAGCACTGGGCTTGAGGATCTTGTGAGCTCAGGGCTCTCTCCCGGGACAGCATGCCAAACAAGCTTTACATTCAATCAACAGCTAAGTGTAAACTCTCGAACCTGAAATGGCCTCTAAATGGCTGCCCTTGTATTTTTAAACATAATAGAGGTCAGGCTTTTGTTGATGGTTTTAATTTTATTTAAAACTTAAGCATTCATAGAGCAGCTTTTGTCTCAGAGACGGTGCTAGCACTCACCAGAGCACTTCTTCACATGCGCGCATATCACAGCACTTGCAGGTAAACTCGCAGCGGATTATCATACACATTCATTCATTCATTTTCCTTAGGCTTACTCCCTTTATTCATCACAGGTTGCCACAGCGTAATAAATAAGCAGCTTATCCCAGCAAATGTTTTACACAGCGGATCCCCTTCCATGCTGCAACCCAGTAATGGGAAACATTCGTGCACATTCATACACTACGGCTAATTTAGTTTATTTAATTCACCCATTGCACAAGTCCATAAAGAAATGCCAACTGACCCAACCGGGGTTTGAACCAGCGACTTTCTTGCTGTGAGGCAATTGTGCTACCCACTGCGCCATCATGTTGCCCTTTTCATAAGCATTTTATCGATCATTTTTTCCACATTTGGCATTAAGAAGAGACATAGAAATGCTATCTGACTAACAACTAGCAGCTAAATGTGTCTAGAAAAATATTCAAAGGCTTTTGTTTTCATAAACAGCACAGATGTGAATGTGTCTGAATGTTCTGATTGGTTGGATGTCTCACGTTTGCGCGTTCTAAACATGTACGTGCTCTTTCTAGCAATTTCCCTTCTGCATTTACACAGAGAAGCATTCTGGCAAATTACCGGTAATGTTACAACTTCTTTAAAACTAGTTTACAGGTATTTTCAAAAAAGGCTTGTTCAAACATCATCCCTTTCCGGAAGATTTTCTGGAAAGGTCTTTATGTATGAAAGGGGTTATAGACATTCATAGTAGCACAAAAAATAGAGTGACCATTCAACCTTTTTTCCCAGACATGTGCTCATTTAGGGGCTAACAAAATACATCTGACTGTGATCTTCAAAAATGTCCGTCATTAGACTTTTTGCTTTCTAAAGTTATCACTTAATTTATCTGTTACTGCATCCTTTTTTGCATCATTTTTTATCCTTTATTAATTGCAAATTAGTGTTTATTTTACTAACCTATTCAAAAGGTTAGTAAAATAATCAAATAATCAATTTTAATAACCTATTTAAAAGAAACAAGGTCATACAAATAGTGGTAAATGCTTTTTTTTTTATTTGTTTGTTACCATGTTATTGTTGAGGGTTCAAAGTTTATTGAAAATAATATTATTACATTAACTATAAAAATTCAGTAACGTAGTTTTGAATGTTGTGAATCCAGTTTTTTTTGCAAACTGAAATAGGGTCACTATACGTAAAAAGAAATACTGTGGAAGTCAATAGGGTCACACTTTATTTTGATGGTCTGTTTGTTGAATTTAAGTTACATTGCATTTACATGCCAACTAATTTGCATTAGATTATAAGTAGACTGTTAGGTTGTTGTCAATGTAAGTTGACATGTACTTGCAAAGTGTCTTATCCTTGTTAAGTATGACGTCACGCGAAGCGGCTTATGGGTTAAATCGCTCTATTCAACTGAATGGGGAGACTCGTGAAATGGTAATAATAAACATTTACAAAGCGATTTAATACTTTCAAAAATCACGATTGCAATATATATGTCCATGCCTAATATCCGATGACCAGAAAGTGATTCATTTTTTTATAAATTGTAAAAATTTTGGTATTTGTACCAAGCCCAGATATTGTTGTGTACACTATGAATTTATGTAAAATTAACTTTAATGTGTGATATGAATAAAAAGTGATCATAAATGAATGATTTCTCAACTCAAATGAGTGGCGGCTTGGACCCGCAAACAGTATTACATACATCACCAACACGCCACCACTTAATAAGCGGATAGTCAGTTAAATGTCTGTTGAAGGAGCAGTGTCAACAGATATTAAGCAGAGAGTCTACTAATACTCAAATAGCCCATCAAAATAAAGTGTTACCGTCAACGATTCCAACATTCTTCAAAATATCTTCTTTCATGTTTAACAGAAGAATAAAACTCTAAATGATGAGTAAATGATGGCAGATTTTTCATTGGGTGAACGATCCTTTTAACATATACTGTATATCTTTTGTATCAGAATGGTAGGCCCTTTTGTTTATGTGCACATCCATTGTGTTAATATGGTTTCCTCATCTTTTCCTCCCTCTTTCTGTCCTCATTCGTGTGTTTTCTATTTTCATCTGCTCCAAAAGCAATGCCTCAGCAAATCCATTAACGGAACTGTGTTGTTCCTGTGAATAAGCTCTTCCTGACAACAAAAATGTTCTGTTATTTTTTTTTAGATTAGTATTTAATTTTGTACTGTGTCAAGAGTATATCTAAAATATTGCATAATAGATTTATTTTATTATTAGTTGTTGTCTTTGTAAACCACTGCATCATGAGGGAACACAAGCCCTCTTTACTAACTTTCTCCACTCAGTTAAGTTATTTGTTAGTCTGTGTTCACATTTTCACCTTTATATAAATTCATTTGTGGTCAAGTTTGTGAAAAACGGTGGCTTTTATTAAGGGGTACTGCCATTCTGTTGCTTTTTATGTTATGTTTGTCACGTTTCTTTGGAAAATTTTGGTTTTCACTATACTCACAAAAAACAGATACAAAGAATTTACACAAAGCAATCCACATCACCACTTTGGAGCATACTGTACAGTCAGTTCATGGCATAGCACTTTGTTTCTGATTGCCTTAGTAAGGAATAGAGGTTTAGATATTCATGTTTTGTCTTTAAATTCTTTCTTTATATGTGATATTCAGGCCCAACTATGTCTGGAACTCATTTTGCTACTATAATGTGACTTTTTTTTTGTTGTTGAAACAGCATTGTTTATTCCCTTTTTGGATCCTGAAATTGTATATTCAGCAGTCAACGAATTATTCCAATGAATTTTGGTAATCTCTGATCAAAATGTAATAACTTGCTCTCTGAGACAACTTTCCCTCTCAAAAGCTGCATCGATTTCAAACAGTGGGTGGTTCAGTTATTATTTTACAGATGTGATCGTTGACCACAAAACCAGTTATAAGAGTCATTCTTTATGTAAGATTCATACACCACCTGAATGTAAAATAAATAAGCTCTCTGTTAATGTATGGTTTGTTTGGGTAGAGCGATATTTGGCCGAGATACGATAAAAAAAGATGTGTAGATGTGAAAATTGTTTAAAGTTGTCTAAATCAATGTTTCCCAAAGTGACGGTCACAGGACAATGAGAGTGGGTGATCACTGGGTGATTTCCAAAAATCAAATCAATTTTAATAAATTGTTAAAATTACTGTATTTTATCCATAACCTACAGAAGATAACAGTAGTTGCATTAAAATACAACATGTAAAAAAAGCCATCAGTTTAAAACAAATATTCCATTGGATTGCGACTCCTAAGGTTTTTGCATTAGCTTATCCCACAGCAACAGCATCATTTGGAACAGATTGATTTTAGGCCACCAGCCTAAACTTTCTGAAACCTTTATGGCACTCACTTACATTTAAAATAAATACAGGCGAGTAAACATCGAGGATAATCTACAAGTGGTGGTCTCCAAAATTGAACCAATAGCTTGTGCTGAAACCCCTGTGTCGATCAGTTTCATTAGGTGAGGGTAACATTAAGTTAAACAAATGAATAAATATACAGTTGAAGTCACAATTATTAGCCCCCCTGAATTATTAGCCCGCTTGTTTATTTTTCCCCAATTTCTGTTTAACAGAGAGATTTTTTCAACACATTTCTAAACATAATAGTTT